GTCAAACAGTATCCAAGTATTGATTGTAACATAAGTCAATGTTTATATACTGTCAGACAGTATCCAAGTATTGATTGTAACATAAGTCAATGTTTATATACTGTCAGACAGTATCCAGGTATTGATTGTAACATTAGTCAATGTTTATATACTGTCAGACAGTATCCAGGTATTGATTGTAACATTAGTCAATGTTTATATACTGTCAGACAGTATCCAGGTATTGATTGTAACATTAGTCAATGTTTATATACTGTCAGACAGTATCCAGTATTGATTGTAACATTAGTCAATGTTTATATACTGTCAGACAGTATCCAAGTATTGATTGTAACATTAGTCAATGTTTATATACTGTCAGACAGTATCCAAGTATTGATTGTAACATAAGTCAATGTTTATATACTGTCAGACAGTATCCAGGTGTTGATCATAAGATGATTTAATGTTTATTTATTTTCAGAATGTGAAACTAAAAAATTCCGTGCTTGATTTATACAAGAAAGTTGAAGAAAATGATCAAGAGTTGAAGATAAGTTATAAATTTCCGCCGTGTATATTGGAAGCAGTTAACTTGATGCCAACTTCTTATGTAAATCATGATCGTGTTTCTGTAAGTCACATTTACTACTGGAAGAATTGTTTTATGTATTCTGATCGTGCATATAAAAATTAATTAAACCTTTAATCTTTTTTTTTGTTTTGTTTCTGTAAGTCATAAAGCAAGACATGAAGTGGCAATCAAAAAATGTATCTTATGTTTCATTACATCAACGTGTTTGTTTTAAGCCTGAAAAACAAAATAGCCTTCTATAAAGTATCTTGAAATGCTGTTTTCACAGTTTTATAAGACATTATTTTTTGTGAGTATCTGAATGCATTGTCCAAGATAAATGTTTATTCTTACATTTAAAACAATTCAAAGAATATTGTTAACATTTGAAATCTTTACTTAATGTCAATTTGTTTATTTTAATACATTATATCGTGCTTCACCGAGGGCCTAAATTCCAATATTTTTTTAATAGTTTGAATTTTGATTATATATATTTTGTACCTCATCAACATGTATTGCTAAAATGTTTGTAATTCACAAGTAATCTAATACACTTTATCTTTTAAAAAAGCTGTAAGAAAATAATTCCAGTTTTTTTGGATTGTGTACCATAAGGATAATATACTGGAAAAGTACATAAAAGAAATGTGTGTGTGTATCTTATTTTTTGTTGTGTGTGTGTGTGTGTGTGTGTGTGTATTTTTATTTTTGCCTTCAAAGTATATGGAGGTTGATTGTGGATACCTGTTTGATTACTCATTCATATTCATTAATTTTTTATGCTGTTGTTGTAAACTTGATATTCTTTTATATTTGTTTAACTAATACTAAGGTTTTTCTTTTTTTGTGTGTTTGCATGCTGTTCGAATTGTTGTAGTTTTTTAGTTGAGACTTCACATGCTCTTATGTTTATATATCGTGCAAAGTTGTTTGTTTGTTAATCTGGAAGTAACTTGCTTGTGGATTTGGGTGTTTCAGGATGGCAGCTGGCTGTATACAGGAGGAAATCTGTCATACTTACCAACGGAGAGAGGCCCTGTCCTCCTGCATGCTGGGGGGAAGAGGTTCAACTCACTTGGTAATCTGTAAACAGATATTATTTGCTTTATAAAAACGCACTTGGTAATGCTATCACTGAAATTGAAAACAGATTTTATTTGCTCTATAAAAACTCACTTGATAATGCTATCACTCAAATTGAAAACAGATTTTATTTGCTTTATAAATCATTTTTGGTCAAGGCAGGCTACCTATGTAGATCAGAACTAAAAACCAACCCAGTAAATAATGTAGGTAATTTAACATATCAGTCTAACTGAAAGTATACAGTGTCAGTAATGTAGGTAATTTAACACATCAGTATAACTGAAAGTATACAGTGTCAGTAATGTAGGTAATTTAACACATCAGTATAACTGAAAGTATACAGTGTTGATAATGTAGGTAATTTAACACATCAGTATAACTGAAAGTATACAGTGTTGATAATGTAGGTAATTTAACATATCAGTCTAACTGAAAGTATACAGTGTTGATAATGTAGGTAATTTAACATTTTCAGTTAGACTGATGTATACAGTGTCGATAATGTAGGTAATTTAACATAGGTAATTTAACATATCAGCGTAACTGATTAGTCTCAGAGACTGAGGCAGTCAGCTTGGTGGCTACAACATCCATATTGACTGAATCAGTGGAAAAGTTTTGAATGATACTATACTCTCACTAAAAGGTACAAAATATCCGTTTTTTTGATCAGCATTCAAAGTGTGATGCTCAACCAGCATTTTTTTTTACTAGAAAATGTTTCAAAATGTATCTAATAATTTAATTCATATTATTTTTTAGAATTTATCTGAATAAAGAAACATACCTTTAATATACAGGCATTTAGCAAATAAAAATCAATGGAACTTTCAAATTAAAAGTCTCAAACTATGTTCAGATAGTTACGGTGGTAATCTTATAATAAACTGTCTATCCTATCATCATTAACATAATTTTATTTTATAATAAGAGTCCCATTACAGCTGCACTTTCAGGCCATGAATGTGTCATAAAGTGACTGTCAAATCCCACTGTCAGTTGGACAAGAGTAGTTAAAGAGTTGATGGTAAGAGCTGTTGACTAGCTGTCTTACGTCTAGTTGTCAGTTGAACATTAGAGATGGCTAATGGAGATAGCTTCTGAGTAGCTTTGTGTGAATATTCAAAAACAACTGTGAGATGGCAATTTCTTTTTTTTATGATTACGGTTGTGTTTGTCATTCATTTATTATTTCCTTCTATTGTTTAGTTTATCTATGAGTTTTTAGTTGCATTAAAATGCTAATTAACTTCTACATAATCATTTGTATTTTGAATAAATATGTATGTGTGATGAAACTGATACCAGCTTCCCTAGCAGTGACAAACAGATACTATTACTACAGCAGAAGATTATGTAAATTTATGATCACATGAGATATACTCTCATGACCTACTCAGTGAATAAATACCCTGCCAGAAGTTTTACCAAGAGAAAGGTCACGAGACAGTTAGTGAACAATATAGTTATTGCTGTTTATCACTTGATATTGTTATTATTATTGAAAGGGATTTTTGGATTCTTGTATTTGCTATATTATTTTGGAATTAGGTTTTTTCTGAGTGTTGTTATTGTTGAACAAATTGTTTTTTGTTGTTGAACCCTGAATGTAGTGGTGTGTTCATTTTATACTGTTACACAACTTTCTTTCTTTTCCCTGTTTTGACCTTAATCCCAACTAGTTTGGGGTGAGCCGTTATTTTTGTAAGCCAACATTTTTTACATCCGGATGGCTAGCTCGGTTGTTAACCATACAGGACGAACATGTTCAGTGACGGTTATTTGAGCTTGCGATCTTCAGAGTGCAAGTCGAGTGCTCAAATGGTAGATTTTACTAGTAGATAAAAATAATAAGTCAAAATCATATAAAAATGTTAAGAGATTAATTATATAAAAACTTATAAGATGCTGGCACCTTTCTCTTTTTTAATATTATTTACCAAACATTTTATCATACGTGTTTTTACTGTTATGAAAAAGATTTCTGTGAATAATTGAAAACACTGTTTTGTCATTATAGTAATAACTCCTGTTAGGAGCAGTGAAAATGCTAGACACGTGTTTTCTGCAGTTTTAGAAGACCAACAGACATTGAAATTAAACGGAAAAAGTATCTATCAGGTGTCCGGAAGATCAATCGAAAATGAAGGTAAGATAAAACAAGAACATATTTTTTTCAGTGTTTATTCTAGCAGAGATTATTACAATGTTATTATCTTCTGTCAGTGGAGAAGGGGAATATGTTCTGTGTTGTATTATTATTATAAAATGAAATAAAGAAACAAACAAGTTATATCAGCATTAGTTGAGTATGTTGTAATGATTTAAGAATTTAAAAAGTATTTGATTTGATACGGCAAGTGAAAGTCGCACAAATTATTTTTAAAAAATTTGGTAAAAAGAGTAATTCAACAGAGATCAGAATTGAAACTTCAACTTGCTCAACAAAACATGCTGGTTTTTACCACCGGACGACACTGACTTGCTTGCGATGAGGGTGGGGATTTTCCTCCGTATGCTTTTCGGTGAAAGTTCCTGACCTTGGGGCTCACTTTCTCTGCAAAAATACCATGTGGGAAAAAATTATTTTCAGATTTGGATTTAGGAAATAAAAATGGTAATTTATTATTGTGTGTGTGTTTTTGGGTGTGACGGCTGCTAAGGTATCCGTGTGTAATCCTGTACACCTTTTGTTAAGTTGTATGTATTAGTTATTTATGTTTTCCGAACTGTACAATATATATCATATATATTTTCTGAACAATTTTGTGCATTGTCTGTGTTATTTTTTCTTCTTTTTTAGTTTTTTAAACCTTACGTTAATCCTTTTTTCATTTAATTTTTTTAACATATGTTATTTCATATATTATTTAAACCCTTTCTTGTAATATTTGTAAATTTAGCTCTAATCTTCCAACCAATTTAATTTTTTTAACATATGTTATTTCATATATTATGTAAACCCTTTCTTGTAATATTTGTAAATTTAGCTCTAATCTACCAACCAACTTACTTTTTTTAACATATGTTATTTCATATATTATGTAAACCCTTTCTTGTAATATTTGTAAATTTAGCTCTAATCTTCCAACCAATTTAATTTTTTCCTTCTTACATATAACTTGTGTTTATTATAAAAACTCGTATATTTAATTTATTGTCAAACCAAAAACTATTTTCATGGCTTTTTGTTAAAGCTTTTGCCTTCTAATTATTTCATTGAGCTCTCTGTAGCTCTCTTTGCTTATCATCAGTGATCTGAATACTCTGCAGAAAAGTATCGACCTAAAAACATTGAAGAAATAGGTTTTGTACGTATAATTTATCTAGACTGGCAGTTTCTCAGATGATTCAGCTACAATTAAAATCATAAACTTACAGTTTGGATATTTGCATATGTTTTAATTCTTTTTCCTCTATGAATCTGGAACTGATAAATAGCAGTGACTAATTTTCTGAAATTTTAAGACATATTTTGTAAAATTTCAGGTTTTTGTTGTGTTCGTCAGCACAAAAGGTGTGAAGTTTTGTCCATTAAAAATTTTTCTGAGACCTTGAATGCCACTGTTTTGGATGTGTTCAATTCTGAAGAACCATTGTGTTGTGCACAGCTAAGGTGAGGAGGATTGATATCTGAAGTAACCTACAAATTAATTCAAATGTTTTACACTATTTATTTTTGGGTAAATAAAATATGTTTGTTTAGGTACTGCGTTGTGGTTTTTGAAAGGAGTTCCAGGTGCTCATATTTAAAATTTATAGTTTCTGAAATTTGAAATATTTCCAAAAAACAAACATGGAAGCAGGAAAAAAATTACTTTCATAGAAAATGATCCAGCTATTCTAAGATCATAAGAAAATTAGGAGCATGAAATAATTGCTTTTTTCTCTCTCGTAGAGCCAACAAAATAATGTAGGACCTTTGTTCTGAGTATTGGTGATAAAATTGTGTTTAGGTTCTTGTTTCAAAAAGTGAAGGTTTAGTTAAGTTTAAGCAGGACTATTAAGAAGATTTAAATATGATAATGTTTATAAAAAATATTTGTTTGGTAAATAAATCAGTATTTATTGTTGTGTGACTTTTGGTTTTGAGAAATAGTGAATATTCTGACAAAGGGAACTTTGTTGCTAATGTTTTACTATCTAACAGTTGTAAAACAAATTTAAAATATTCAGTTTGTATGTTTTTCCTTTTTCAGTCCATATATTCCAGGGGAATATGCAGTAATAACCAGTAGTGGATGTCTAATATTGAAACATCCAGATCACAAGTAAGTAACTAGAAATGCTTTAAGAACTTTTTAACTCTTGCTACAGGCAGGTCAAAGTGCGCATGTAATGACTTTAAATTTAGAGTGACATTCAAACTTTAATTCAGTTACTTTATTCTCATTTTGTACAAATAAACTTAGCATCAAAATGTAGTTAATAAATCATATTTTAATATATAAGTTTTAAGTTCTTAATTTTGTAAGGAAATATTTAAGCAATTCTCAATCTCACCCTAGTATAAGCATTGTAGCATTATTTGTTTATGGAGCCATAAACATGAAAATCAGACCCACTTGCCACACCCACCTGTCACATCCCATCGTTTACGAGTTACCAATAGCTCTCTCTGATATTTTATACTATATTATTTATTACCAATAGAAAACCAGTATTATAATCTATCAAACGACATGTTATATTACCTTTTTTTCTGTACAGATAACTACCTATTTCACCTCTAGTTCAAAACTTTTTTTCTCACTGGAATCATTAACAAACTTAGCTGAATTTTTAAAGGTTCTTATCACATAAAAAAATATAATACTCATAGGACATTGCATGCTTTGTGCATATTATTATTCTGTGTTCTTAGGTGAATTATTTAATTAGATAAAAATTATTTAGTGTAAAAAAGTACCATTAGTATAAAAATTAGGGTTAAGTTTCATAAACACTCAATAGAATAAAAAACAACAACAAAGACCCAGGTAAGTATTATATTTCTTGTTTCTTTTGTATTATTTATTTATTATTATAAAATGAACTAAAATGTAAAAATTAGAAACTTTTTAGGTTAGTTAAGGTTAAATTAAGTAAAATAAATTATAATATAATAAAAAATTTATTTTTATCTGCTGAGTGAGTTACAACTTATAATAGTGCAAGTAGTAATTAGAGATGGTTCAAAGGGCAACAAAACGAGAATTTAAGTATAAATAGATTTATACTGTTACAACTTTAAAGTTATTTAGGATAAACAAATGTAGTTTCATGTTACAGTTTGAAGTCATTCTAGAAAGAAAAAAGGAAAAGGGTAATTTAGATTTATTTCAATTTTTGTTTTGGTGGTAATGAGGTTGGTCAAATTGACCGACGTCGTATACAGTTAGGGTGGAGAAAATAAAATATAAAGTTCTACTGAAAAATTTATTTAGGAGGTTTTAGAAATTGTGCAACTAAAATTTGAGACAAAGAAAAGTATTTTTAATCTTAACGTGAAAATAACTTTGTACTCGGACTAGTCAGAAAAAAAACTTGATATATTCAGGACAAATCTTTTTTTTAGTTTATTAAAATTCTACACTAAAAAAATCTGATTTTTTGTATGTGAAAGACTTGTAATGTTTACTGAAAGTCTGCCAAATTTTGTGAAGATATATGTACTATATTAAAAGTTAGTAATATCAAATCTATAAAGACTTTAAACGAGTACAAGGTGGTCATGTGGTCAGTCAGTTTGACTGAGCCCGTGTCGAGAGAGTTAAAAGTTATAGTATGGAAACTATGATGGTCACTTTGGGGTTATGAACTCAGTCAAACTGGCTGAGTCTGTAGCGAGAGGGTTTAAACGTGAATCACGTGATTAAATAGGAGAACTTTTACTTAAACAAATTAATAAACAATTATTTCGGGTGGATGGGCATATGTCATTCTCCGTCATATTTCTTCAATATATTTGTAGGCAGCCCTTGTGGATGAACTCAGAACTGTCAAAGCAAAAATCTCATGATGGAGAATCCTGGTGGTGGTGTGACTTTGGTGTACAACCAAGGTCATTAGTGGTAGCTGACCGTAAAGTGATCAGACTTTTTGATGCACGGACAATGGTAAATATTGTATTCTTATTGGTAAAGTGGACACAAGTTCAAGGTAAGTACAGAATACTACATGCTGATAAAGTAGACGTGTTCAATGATACATACAT